AAATTCCAAACTGTCGTCATTTCTCACATTTCCTCTCGTCTCTCTGCTGTCACAGTCTAACAGAGGACTTAAATTCCCCAGATAGTGTCTTTATAAAACATGTATGTTTGTCCTGTTTCTGTGCTCAGGGAGGCGTTTCTCTCCTCCGGCGATGTCGCTTCGTACCACAGTGTGAGTGACAACATGGCGACGGCTCTGCCTCTGCTGAGCGACAGCATCCAGACTGATGTGTTCGGTCTCACGCTGCCGGTTCCTCAACCTCTGGAGGCTCAGAGCAGCCAGGTAGTTTCCTCCAGTCACAGCTGACTAACAGATCATCATGTCTTCTAGAAGTGAAGCATGTTTTATGACTGTGTCTGCTGCAGGCGCAGACGATGTATCCGTGGAGAAGTTTCATGGCCTGTCACGGACTGATGCCTCTTCATGTTTGGGATGTTCCTCCTGTTGAATACTGCATGCAGGTCCAACACCTCACATGTTGTCTTACATGTCTTGTTTATTTATGGAAATGCCTCCTGGTGACTTTGGTCCAGAACAAAGTGTATCTTCAGGCCATGCTGCTTAGAGAGTTGTTGAGGATTATTCATAGTGATGTTGTTGACTCTCCCTGACTTTACCCTGATTCCATCATTAGCACGAAATGTTCATTTTAAAATAGCAGTTATCTAACTCTAGTGAGCAGCTTTGCCTTTAAATAAGTACATAAATCATGCTCCCCACAGGATAAATCATTTTTATTCTTGACACTAGTGTTGCTCAGGATGAAATATAAACTTTGCACACAAGACGCGTCATTATCTAACAGAGAGATTGCCATTAAACATGCATTAAATCTGGATGGATTGCCTTCAAATAAATACATAAATCACACTCCCCAGAGGATAAATCATTTCTAGTTGTCACTAGGACAAAACAGGACCTTTTTACACAAGATACCTCATTGTCTAACAGAAGATTGCCTTTATACCTGATCAGATTGCCTTAAAATAAATACACCAGTTATGCTCCCCAGAGGATAAATCATTTCTATTTTAGAAATTAATGTTGCTGAGGAGGAAACATTCATTTTTGAAGGCAAGATATCTAACAGAAAAAGTATTTTTCATACACTGTTTAAAAGCAATTTATTGTTGTTTTTCATGTCAGAAAAAAATGACTGAGTTACATTTTGAATCTAAAAACAGGCCAAAACTGTAAATAAAGTCCACATCAAGAATCTGTATTTTTACAAATAGTTTTTCAGTCTTTTACAACAATTGAATGACACAAAATTAGACAAAATTAAAAAAGTTCACTGTGTTTAAATCAGAAAGTTTGTATATTAAAGATTAAAGTATTAAATAGTTTTAAAGTTTTACATTTTTATTTGTCTACATTAAATGTCTCCATAAAATCTGTAAGTAATTCATTCTTTTACCAAGTGTAACTATAAAATTCTAATTTTACTGTGTTTTAATCACTGGATTTTTATGAATTGTTTAAACTTTTTTACCGTGTATTTCTGGATTTTTATGAGCAAGAATCATTAGAGAGTTTTTGTTCTTGTTTTGTTTTTATACCTTTTGTTCTAAAACACATTTGACAAGTTAAACCTTTGATTAATTGTTACAGTGCTTCAGACAAACTTTGGTTTTAAAACAAGAAGAGATTTTAAATCTTAACACTTCCGTCACAGATTATTGTGAGGACTGTTTGTTTGTTTGTTGCAGCTCTGCCTGAGCGGTCTGAGCGATCGCAGCCGGCTGCAGGCCAACGCTGCCATGCTCGGAGTGTCGCTGCTCATGGAGGACGTCCTGAACGGAGGAGGAGAGGCCCAGCCTGTGCGTCTCCATGGCAACAAAGATGACCTTCGGCATGATACTAAACCCAACGAAGTAAAGGACGAGCTGCAGATAAATCATTGGTTGTTCATTAATGATCTGTTGTCATGTTAACTATGTCTTTGCTGCAGAGGCAACAAAGCTGCACAGAAGCTGAAGAAGAGAAAACAGATTCCTTTCCTCCTCTTCAGGATCCGATCAGAATCCAGTCTGTGCTGAAAGGTTTCCTGCTGCTGATGAAGCAGCTCGAGGTCTTCAAGGAGAGCTGGGCCAGAAGGCGACTGGGCACCGACGTGTTCAGGAGTCCTGCTGCGTATCAGACGTTTGTGAAACTTTACAGGTGACAGAAGGTTGCTTTTGGTCTCTGATACCAGATGTTGGTCAGTGTTGTACAGTGAGTATGATCCACTGTACAACACTGTTTAACTTTTCATTTCAGAATGTGATTATTTGTTAAAGCCGTGAATTTTTGATATTTTTGCGATTTAAGTCGCCAGTTACAAAAATTTGTTCAAAAATGCTTTAACTGCTACTTGAAAAAAATCATCTCACCACCAGTCAGACTTTGTTCAGGATGAAACATAAACTTTGCACTGAAGATAGCTCATTATTTAACAGAAGGATGCCAATCAATCTGGGCAGATTACCTTGTAGTAAATACACAAATCATGCTTCCCAGAGGATATATAATTTCTATTTTTCGACTAATGTGAGTCAGAAAATGAAACATAAACTTTGTACACAAAACACCTCATTATCTATCAGAAAGACTGCTGTTAAACTAGGGCAGTTTGCCCTAAAATTGATACAGAAATCATGCTCTCCAGAGGATAAATCATCTCTATTTATGAAACTAATGTCGCTCAGGACAAAACATAAACTTTGCAGTTAAGATATCTTTTTATCTAATGGAAATAGTGCACACTGCTTCAATCACAACCGTGTCCCTTATAAGAAATATGCAAATCATGTTCCCCAGAGGATACATCATTTCTATCGTTGAAGCTAACGTCGTTCAAGACAAAACTTAAATATTGCACACAAAATGCTTCATTATCTAATGGAAATATGATCAATAAACCTGCATTAAACCTGAACTGATTGCTTCAAATTAGATTGATTCCTCAGAGGATAACTCATTTCTATTTTTGAAGCTAATGTTGCTCCGAACAAAGCAGCAACTTTGCACACAAGTGTCCTCATTATCTAATAGAAATATTGTGATCCATGTAGTCGCAGTTCTGCATTATTTTAAGGAGGATTTGGGGAGAATTTAATGTTGAGTGTTTTGAAATAAGTGATTGTTCTTCCCAATGATAACTGCTTGTGCTGATCATGTGATTTAATCAAAAGCTCCAGAACAGCTACAAAAAGGACCTCATTGTGTGATTTCTTTCTCTCAGCTACTGTTTCTAAGATTTACCAATGATCTCTATCAATACTTGGTGGCTGTAAAAATGAATGTATTGAATTGATTGTTGATGTTCTTCACAGAGCTGAAGTCTTTGATCCCAGTATGAGAGCTCTGGCTCAGCAAAGGGGGAAAAAACTCGACTATGAGGCCTCGATCTCCGCCAGTCGGTCTCTCCTGCCCCCTCCTGGAGCCTCGGAGGTCGATGTGAAAACCTGGCAGGTAAAAGCTCAACTAAAAACCACGTCTGAGCAGCAAAACTTCACACCATAAAAAAAAACTGTCCTGGTCTCAGCTCCACCTGCTGCTGGAGGCCTCAGAGTGCGACATGATCCGAGCCGTGCAGAAGAAGATCCACCGGGAGACGACTCTGGTGCTGTCAGAGAAAACTCGACAAGACGCTCGACTCCCCACAGGTACCAAGAAACAGGAAGTAAAGCAAACATTTCAGCAGTGATTAAAAGCTGTGGAGGCGAAGCTGCAGTGAAACGTTTGTGTGTCTTTAGAGCTGTGGAAGAAAACTCCTCTGAAGCACAGTTTGTCTCCGGAGCGTCCACAGATGGTGGAAACGTTCGTCCAGCAGCTGATGAACGGAGCTGAGCAGGAGGATGGAGAGGTAGGAAGTACCGGTGGGTTTCTGCTAATGACCTATACTAAATGGCCAAAGTTTTCTGATAATAAATATGATAAAAGTTAGAATAATTTGCAGAATTTGCTCTGAAACAGTGAAAGTATGACTATTATTATTTTTAAGGCTTTTTCTTGGAAATTTGTTGCTTTAATTTTAGAGAATTTCTGAGTTTTTTTTTAATGCAAATTCACGACTTATCAAAAAAAACCATAAAGAATATTACACATTTTTTCTCACAGATTGACCATATTATTCACAGAGAATATGTGAGGTTTTTTAATTGTATATTTGGGACTTTAAATTTAAATTTTTTTCCTCATAAACATGCCCTCCTTCCACAGCTCCATAGTTGTGTTTTGTTTTGTTCCTTTTACACCTACATGACCTGAATATGTCGTCACATGAAAGAAAGAAACACTGAAGTCCCTTTAAATAAAGCTCATAAAAAACATGCATTTTCTCTTTTCTTTGTTTTTTTTCTTTTTTTTTTGTTAATCGTACTTCTATACTGGATGGAGACATAAACACAAAATATTGCCGATGATTTTAAGATTTCAAAGCCTTTATTTGTCACAAACACATTTATACACAGTATAAAGTGCAGTGAAATGTACTTTGCACCCGTTTCCAGACCAAAACAACAACAACAACAACAATAATGACAGGAATCTCTAGGATTAAATCACTAATTACAGTTTTGATGATCCTAACTGTGATAAAAAATACATTTGTAGGAAATTCTGTGTATTCCTATTGCTGCCATACAATCACTGAACAGAGAAACTGATAATAGTTCAACACACACTTCTTGAAACAAATTATTGAGCTATAAGTGCAACATTACCAAGACAAGTGATGCAGGAGATCGATGCCGAAATAAAAGCAGCGTCAGCATTCGTCTGTTGTCTCATTATCGTGGTTGTACAGCTTCATGTCTGATGACTGAAAAGAGTTAATAACGTCTTCCAGCTGAAGCTCTCTGAGGATCACCTCCATCAGTGTCTGACTCACCTCGGCTCCTCTGTGATGGATCGAGAACGTCGCTGCTTCCTTCTTTACTCGCAGTTTTATGAGCAAATCCTGCAGCAGCAGACTGAGCTTCTGTACCAGAGAGAGCAGGTACAACAACCAGCCATCCAGACTGTCCTGTTAGAAACACTATAAAGCTCCTTTAACTCACAGGCTGCAGCTGAATCTTTAACGTGTCATGATTTCATTCTTCTTTTACCATTTTTTGCAGGATTTGAAGAGTTTTAGGGACATTCAGACCAACAATTCTCACAAAGAGGTACGTACAATAACTGCTT